CTTTAAGTAACTGCTTGTCCTCAAAGTGACAGCCTGAGCCATGGAGGGACACTTTCTCTTTGGTTTGATAACTGAGTGACTCTGAAAGCATATTGCGGGTGGGAAAAAGAAGAGTGGAGGTTATACCTGTGGAGGTGAGGGACAGCATAGCAGATTTTCCTTTATTTACCCCCCTAAGCCTGAGTTCAAGGCAGGTCTGGGTTTGGAGGGATATTTTGTTACTGATTAGCCATCTACCACTACAACTCAGGTTTCTTTTTGTAACACTACAACCACCCCGCCTCCAATCCCAGGCTTCTTAAAGCCAGCTCCAGTAGCTCAAAGTTAGGTGGTTTAATTTTGGGGGGAATGCACCTGTTATTTAGAGTTCCTTGGCCCCTTTGACCTCATCTTTGGGAGGGTCAGTTTCCTGGGCCTCAGTTTCTCCAAGTGCAGTTAAGGAGGGAGTGTTTGCAGCCCTCTGTCTGGAAATGAAATGTTTCTGGTTTTCAGCTGCGTCATCCATGACACTTGGCAAGAGCGATTCTCTGCGGGACGGTGGAGGGCTTGAGTGTCCTAGCTGATGTGCAGGGAAGGTCTGGCATGTTTTGTGCAAGGAGACACATCTGGGTCTGGCCCAGAGTTTCAGTTGCAGCAGTGAATAATGCAGGAGAGGAAGGCTAGGCTAGACTCCGGGTTTTCCACCCCCTGGGCCCTGGTAGGTGTGGAGGTATCAGGTTTCCTGCAGAATCCCCAAGTGCCAAGTCCACTTGGAACAGGTCTGCTGCAGATTTTGCAGCAGCAAAGCTTTGCTTTGGGGGAAAATGAAAACTCGGCATTATTATCATCACACATTTCAGTTACAGCTGGGATTTCTTGTTTTGTTTTGTCTTTTAAAGCCATGGGTGGCCTTGAGATGTTCTCCTACCAATAGGAACAGAATGCCCAGGACCAGGAAAGGCCCTTCTCTAGAAACCAGGCTTTTCAATCCTGGGACCTGTAGCTTTAAGTTGGTGAGGTTCATGGCTGAACTGAACGAGGAAAGGAGCCTCTGTCCAGGTACTGGTGAAAGTGGAGAAGGTAGTGAGTGGGCTTGTGCCTTGGTTCCTGGGCTCAGTTCATGCTCACAGAGGTAATATTAGCCTCGCTTTGCAGACATGCAAGTGGAGGCTCAGAGAGGTTCTGGCCTTGCCTTGGAAGACAGCTGCCATTGGAAGTACTTGTCCTAGGTGGGGTCTCCATCAGGTCATCTGCTCTGGCCTGTCGTCATTCACCTTAGCTATCAGTCAGGGCACCCTGGTGGGTCCCCATTCTTGGTTCCTGACCCAGTGTTGCCCTCTTTCTCCATGCTGGGAGATGTCGCTTGCTTTGGTGACCGCTGAGCAGATGGTGGAGAACCCCCCTTCCCAGAGCATCAGGCTGCCTTGCTTAGAATCTTGGCTTCTTCACCTGCCTTGGGCAAGTTAGTCCACTTTGCCCAGCCTCTCTCTGCTTCTCTTCTGGAGGGTGAGGCAGAACCCAAAGGGCCCCTTTACTCACACGAGGTCAATGAGGTCGGCCTCTGTACACTGTGGGTCTCAGTAGTTGCTGGCGTCCTGGGAGCTTGTTAGACATGACTTGGCTTCACTGACAGACTCTGCTTGCAGTTTAGGTAGCCTGCCTGAAGGTTTGCACCTGAGCTTTATGTGTAGCTACACCTGCTGCTGGACTATCGTGGTCCCGAGTCCTCTCTGGGGAGGCTTCAAGTGGCAGTGGTGGGACATGGCCATCTGTATTCAAGGCAGTCCCTTGGCTGAGGCAGGCCTGGCGGGCCTGTGAATGTGTATGCAAATAGGACTCTCTCCTGAGCAGTTTTTGCTGGAGGTCTGGCCTAGGCTGTCTGAGGTCTGGACCAGCTAGGATGCTATCTGCTCCATGCCAGTGTTGTACTTTGAGAAGCTCAAACGTCAGAAATTCAGGTTCCCCCCTGGAACTGATGTGATCTGCAGACAAAAGAATTTTCATTTCTTTTCCCTGCCCTTCCCCCACCCCATGAACCCCATTGCTCCTCCTTACCCCCAGACCTGTCCTGCCCTCCTCATGCCCCATGACTTGTTCCCTTGTGGCTGACCCAGAGAAACCTCTGGCAAGCCCATGAATGGGTGCCATTTACTTTTTAAAGTTTGGGTTGAAATTTTGAGCTTCTCAAAAGGAGCTGGGTTTGTTCTCCGGCTTGTGTTTTTAAAAGGGAGGGTGGGGCAGGGGTAGTTTGGGCCTTTAAAAAAAGACAGAGTATACCAGCCCTGAATGGGCCTTTTCTGTGGGGCCTGTGTGTGGCTAATAAGGCCGCCTCTCCTAAGCCCAGCTACCCGGAGCAAAGGTCACTGAAGATAATGGGGTGAGTTACATAAGCTTCTTCCTCCCCGCACCTGACCCTGAGGGATCTGTCCATGTCCTTGGAGTTCTGGGCCCCCAGGACCATGCACAAAAGAGGGTCCATCTGAGGAGCTGTCAGTCAGGGGGCCCACCCAGCGCTTTACAGTTTCCCGCAAAGAGCTTTCTAGTCATTCTGCTTCCGAATGGTCCCAGGATGGAGGCCTCAGCACTGGGGAAATTGAGGCTTGATTAGGTGTGTGGCTCTAGGTCTTGGCCTTTGGGGCCTGGGATGAGTCTTGGGTCTCCTGTGCCAGCCACCGGAGCCTGTTGCCCTGTTCCTGCTGCCCAGCAAGTTCTGGGGGCGAGGCCGTGTACAGAGCAGGGTGGCTCCTCTTCCGAAGGCCCTGAGCCCTTTCCTGCCATCCTGTTCCCTGCCACAGCTGCCTGTGTAAAGGGGTGACCCTCCTTCCTTGTGATTCTTGCGTTCCCTCACTCCTCTGCTCTGGACTGGCTTCTCACAGCAGTGCTCATGGTGCCAGAACCCTTACCACGCTGGGTCCCTGAGCTCCCGGACCCAATATTGTCCCAGGACCAGCATGCTCTGGGAGGAAGTCAGTTGTTGCTCGGCTCTCTCTTCTACCTGTGGGCTGTTAAGCACCACGTCTGTGCTGCTCATTTGCACAGCGAATGTCTAACTTCAGGCAAGTTCTTGAACCTGTGTGGGACCTCTGTTTTCTCTCTCTCTCTCTTTTTTTTCTTTGTGGTGCTGGGGATTGAACCCAGGGCCTTGTGCATTTGAGGCAAACACTCTACCAACTGAGCTATATCCCCAGCCCAGGGCCTCTGTTTTCTCATCTGCAAAGTGGGAAAACATGACCAGACCTTGGGTTGAGGGAAGAGGGAGTGTGCTGACCTGTGAAAACTGCAGCGTAGCTGATCTCCAGGCGACAGCACTCAGCTCTGGGCATGACCAGGGCAGTGTCGCTGCTGGCTGGGGCTCTGGCTCCAGGGTCAGAGAGCTCTGGGTGAATCTGGCCTGGCTACTGTTCTGTGACTTTGGAGCTTACCAAGCCTTCTCAACCTTGGTGGCTTCATCTGTATCCTGAGAATAATAATATCCTGGTCCTAGAAATGGACTCTAAAGGATGGGTTTTGTGATCTTCCATTTTTGGCCTGGCCTCCTGTGGATTGGCCTCTCTGGGGCGTGGGTGGGGAATTACCAGACACAGGTCGTGAGTGGGGCCCTTGTACCCAGCGCTGTCTCAGAGCCAGGGTCCTGGTCTAATTGAATAGAAGGAAGATGGCATTCCGCTAAGGTCTGGAAGTGGGGTCTGGACCAGGGTTTTGAGAGCCCAAGGCCTGAAGAGCACACTCAGGTCATGGTGGGGGTGGGGGTGCTGTTTGTCGCCCTTAGGTGCCAGGATTGGGGGTGAGAGCAAAGTTCCAGTGGTTCAGACTTCAGCACCCACAAAACGTGGTGAAGGTGGACCATGTGG